GCACTGGGCTCTGTACTGACAGCTCAGAGCCTGGAGTCTGCTTAAGATTCTGTGTCTCCCTCTCTTTGCCCCTCTCCCGCTCATGCTCTGTCTCTCTCTGTCTCTCAAAAAGAAATAAACATTAAAAAGTAAACAAAAGATGAACTCCTTCAATAGGCAGACTGGGGACAACAGAGGAAAGATTCAGTGGAACTGAAAATATCTGAACGGAAAATAGAAACACAAAGACAAGAAGAAAAACACTGTGATCTGTGATCAAAAAGCAAAAAGCAAACCTAGCAAAACAAAAACAGAAGAGAACTACCAAGAGCTATGGGACAACATCAAACAATCTAACATATATACTTGACATCCCTTAAGAAAAAGAAAGAAAGGGACCAAAGAAATAATAATAATAAAAAAATAGCTGAGAATTTTTCCAAAATGTAACTATTAATAACAAATATAGATACAAGCAGGATGGATACATCTAGCACAATAGAGTGTAAGTGCTGAAAACCAAAAATAAGGAGAATATACAATATATTGGAGGAAATGGATAAAAAGAAATCAAAAAAGGAAATTAAGTCTTGGACTTAAGCTGTGGCCTCTCCATAGGAGACCAATGAGTGTTTAGCCTTTTAGTAAAATGTGGATTGTAGCAAAGCTGTCTCCCACACTTGCAGCCCTTACTAGACCATATAAACAATACTCGAGTGAAAGGATTTTGTGTTCCTTCACAAAGGCATCCATGCAGTAACCACAGAATGTAAATCTGAGGATGCAGGCATGGCATGGCATTTTGTGCAGACTCACCAAAACTTCTCAAAGACGTAGCTTGCTGAATAATATAGTTTTTGTTGTAGCGGAATTAAAATTATCTTTTGAAATAAGTCAAAAATGCCCGGAATTAGAGCTATCTGAATACCAAACGTAATGGGAGTACAAAACTGAAACTGAAATGTGTTATGGACCAAATGTAATGATATCATCTTTGCATTTGTTCCTATAAAACCCCAATAAGACTGGGAAAATAAAAACTTGCACAGCTTGCTCCTCTACAACTGTTTTTAAAAGTATCTTTTGGTTTTTGATATTAATTAGATTGCCTCAGTGGATAATCTTAGCTTTTGGAAAGTTGTGCTAATATGCAGAGGATATCTGTATCTATTTAATGCTTAGGAGATACAATTTCAAAACTAAAACTGCCTGTTATAAAACACAAATAATGCACGAAAAAGAATTTAAAGAAGAGTTTGAGGCAAAACCTGAAAGGCTCGTATCTATTTAGCCTGTTCTTTGGGGTACTCTATTTAGGGAATACTGTCTAAAATCCTGGGTGCTTCTGTTTGAGGCACTGTCAGGTGTTCCCTTAATCAAAGGGTCGGATTTGTTTTCTTTTTCTGCAGTTAGTGCTTGAGAGCTGCTAAAAGGTACCACCTGCACCTGGACACCTTGAGGCAGTTTCAGGATCCTAGAGTCAAGGCTCAAGTATTCAAATGAACATGAGGCTTTTAAGTTTGGGGTCATTACTGCAGTTTGTTTAGTTTAAAAATATATGGAAAGTACACTAGTCAGTAGAATGAAAATATTTAAGTAAATAAAAAGCAAATGTGTGTAGTAGGTAAGGGGGTGGTCTCTGTAGCCAATCTGTTTGCGTTCCCATCTCAGCTCTGATACTTACTTGCTTGTGCCTCAGTTTCTTATTTTTTAAAAAGGAATCATAATAATATCTACCTTAAAAAGCCCTAAATTTTTTTTTAAATTTACTAACAAATTGTTATGAGCTCTTAATAAACAAATTGTTATGAGGCTTCTTAAATGAATTAATGTGAAGGCCCAGACTAGTACCTGGCATGTGATTGGTGGTCTTTGTATTTATTATAATTATTTCTATTAGTGTCATTAATAAACTTTATATTAAAACAAAGTAAAAATGGATTAGTTGAATTGGAAATATCATACTTTCTTGAGAGAACCCAAAAGACTTTTTTTTTTCCTGCTGTGACTTAAACAGACTCTTCTGTGGTATAATCGTGTTTATTGTGGGTCATCATGTGGAATAATATAATATGTTCCCATAATGCCCAGAATTGGTTAACGTCACTAGTTTTGATGAGAGGGACCAGGATTCCTTTGCTGGTATACCGGCATCTTTAAAACACATTATTAACACTACTATAAAAACTGTACACATATAAGATAATTTCCTAAACTGAACTAAAAACAACTTAAATATCTTTAATAGTACTAACTGTAAAAAAAAAAATATTTTGACTATGCACATTTAAGTCATATTATGAGCAGTCATATTTGCCTCATCCTTTATTGTTTACGAAGTAATTGTATATTCCATAAGTACTCCAATTACTAATATTCATATAATATAAATATGATGTTATAAACCAGAACAAGAAACCCGCTATGGATTTGCTTTAATGAGTAGAGAAACTGCCCGTGTCCTCCACCAGAAAGACAAGAAGAGTTATTTTCTTAATAGGACCTCAGAGGGTATCTTTTATGGCCTACAGAACTGGAATGGAAGGCTAGAATATTATTATACTGGAAAGGATTTTATTATTATGTGTTTTCTCTAAAGTTTTTATTTTATAGTTAAGGTAAAAAGTGAAATCCAGGAAAGGCCTAAATTAGAATTGCTCTTAGGGGATTAAGCATGTTCTTAAAAGCTGGAAAAATATGTCATTTATATACAAACCATAAGCACTCTTAAAAGGCCAGACCAAAAAAGAACATTATGAGAAATAATGCAGTGACAAGACAGGTACAGCAAAATCCAGAATTATTTAAAACATCAAATTTCCAAGTGGAAAGTTCATAGAAAGTATCTATCTGTGCCCTAAACAGAATAGTGAGCTAAGAAATGTAGCTGGATACAGGGTGAGCTGTTCATGGTCTTTAATATGGCAGGTGACTTAGATGCTTGAGTTTGGGGAAGCCATGTGTAACAGAATGAACAGTCCAGAGAAAGGTGTTGACAAGCAAAAGAACACAGGGCACCCTTGGAAAAGATTGGAAGGCAGCACCAGGCACACCCTGTGAAGCAGTGAGTTGTCCTTTCCAGTTTTCAGCCCCTACCAATAACTCACATTATTTTCAACATCTTTCTTGCAAATGTACTTGCTCATATGTATTAATTAGTGGTCACAGACTTACACACAAGCCTCTAATTCAAGAATGTTCCTGTTACTGGCAAATGCTCTGCAAGATAGCATCTTTTATACTTTTTAGTATTAAAATGTTGCTATCTATTTATTTAGCACTTTGCAAATTATAACTCCTATTCCTCCTAAACACATTCACAACTCAAAGAATGGGGAAACTTTTGGAGTTTGGACTTTTGTTTCTTTCATTGTTTTTTCTTTTAAAAAAAGTGTATCCCCAAATGTCCATCATAAATATAAACATATAATTTCAGATACATCACTTTTATTTTTTTATGTAAAGTTAAATAACTTTTTTAAATTAAAAAAAATTTTTTTGAGAGAGAGAGAGAGACAGAGAGTGGGGGAAGGACAGAGGAAGAGGGAGACACAGAATCTGAAGCAGGCTCCAGGCTCTGAGCTGTCAGCACAGAGCCCGCCCGATGTGGGGCTCAAACTCACAAACTGTGAGATCATGACCTGAGCTGAAGTTGGAGGCTTAACTGACTCAGCCACCCACGCATCACTAAATATCTTCCTTTTTAAAAACAAGTATAGGGGGCGCCTGGGTGGTTCTGTTGGTTGAGCGTTAGACTTCGGCTCAGGTCATGATCTCGCAGTTTATGAGTTCGAGCCCCACGTCGGACTCTATGCTGACCGCTCATAGCCTGGAGCCTGCTTCGGATTCTGTGTCTCCCTCTCTCTCTGCCCCTTCCCTATTCACACTCTGTCTCTCTCTGTCTCTCAAAAATGAATAAATGTTAAAAAAATTTAAAAAATAAAAACAAGTATAGATTTTTATACTAAGTATTAATGAGTTGAAATATAATCTTACCCTGGTATGGGTACGAATATGCATCTTCAGTCCATCATTTTTACTGAATCCTTTTTCACAGTAAGGACATTGATAGGGCCGCTCACCTGCAAACAGAGGAAGTCTCCAGGTCAGAAAAAAGTAAGGTAGCAAAGCACTGTGCCATTTGGTAGGCCCTGCACTACCAGAAAGAGGCTCCACATGCAGCTGAGCCAACACACGGTGGGCAGTTCAGGGCAATGGACTGTGTCTTCCCCTTGTGCACGGAGGGACTGAGCCCAGAGCACTTCAGTATTTAAACATTTGCCAACATCAGGCTTGTGTCATGTTCCTTTTAATACGTGAGCCCGAGTTAAATCTCCTGATTTTATGCTGGGCTCAATCTCATGAACTGTGAGATCATAACTGGAGCCAAAATCCAGAGTCAGACAGTTAACCCACTGAGCCACCCAGGTGCCCTGATTCTTTGCTTAAAAAAAATTTTTTTAATGTTTATTTATTTTTGAGAGAGACAGAGCACGAGCAGGGGGAGGAGAGGGAGAGGAGGACACAGAATCTGAATCTGAGCTGTCAGCACAGAGTCCGACATGGGGCTCAAACCCACAAACCACAAGATCATGACCTGAACCGAAGTCGGAGCTTAACCAACTGAGCCACCCAGGCGCCCCTTGATTCTTTGGTTTTAAAAAGAGATTTCACATTCTATATCAGTTGGGGGTGATGAGTTTCAAAATAATTTCACAAATTGGTAATATGTTAAGTAGAACCACTGGTAGTTCAATAACTGATCCATACTCGCTCAGATTACTGAGTACCTTCCATCTAGAGGTTATTATTTAGAAAACAGGCAAACCATTTTTAAAAAAACAAGTGAACATACACAACACATTAAAATAAATTTTACTATGAGATGACAAAATGTGACAAAATTTAGTCTCCAGGACAAATCTGAAGCTACCCTCTAGTCAAAGCCTAATTATTTAGAGAGAACAGTAACTCAGAATCACTATTTATTCTTTATTCTCTCATTTAACAATGCACTTACATGGCAGGATGCCAGACCCTGCAATCAAAGAAGGACACACTAAAATGTTTGCCTTCAGCATGTGTAAAACTTCCATGTCTTCCCTTTCCCTCAGAGACAGGTCTTTCCTTTCATAAGCAGCATATGTTAGTCCTTTACTTGCTCATGTCCCATTTGAGTCTCACTCTGGTTCAATCTGGGTATCACTCGCATTATTCCAGCAAACTCCCCTGTGAGGTCAACAATGAACTCCCTGTTGCTCCAATGGTCACTTTTCATCACAGTCTTTCTGACCTTCCCATTGTGTCTGACACTGCTTCATGAGATGGCAGTGACAATGTTGAGTTGCAAGGCCCCTGTGACACATGGGGCCTTGCTCCGCCTAAGTACTGTGTGTTTTCAGCAGTAACATCACGTAGACGTGAATGTAGCAGAGCCCCCAGTGAAGCCTCATTTTCCCAGCCTCCACCGGGAAGGAGCACCCAGGACTCTCCCTTTGAATTGGGCACTATAACATGATGGCAACCTCCCAAAATGGAAAAAAAAAAAAAAGGTAAATAAAAGTAACAATGGCCGTACAAACAGAAACAGTACTCTTTAAAGAACTATCCAGGGGCTCCTGGGTGGCGCAGTCGGTTAAGCGTCCGACTTCAGCCAGGTCACGATCTCGCGGTCCGTGAGTTCGAGCCCCGCGTCAGGCTCTGGGCTGATGGCTCAGAGCCTGGAGCCTGTTTCCGATTCTGTGTCTTCCTCTCTCTCTGCCCCTCCCCCGTTCATGCTCTGTCTCTCTCTGTCCCAAAAATAAATAAACGTTGAAAAAAAAATTAAAAAAAAAAAAAAAAGAACTATCCAGACTTGTCAACTTCTTTTGTGAGACAAAAATCAACCTTTGCACTAGGGAAGTGGACCTGGAATTTTTGACCTTATTATAATCATGACCCCTAGGAAGGTGTGGCTTCCTAGAAGAATAAAGGCATAGAGTCCAATTTATTTGAAAAACTATGAAAATAGAATCTTATTTTAACATTAAACTTATAACACATATTTATCTTAATTCAGATCTCTCTGTGGAGCCCCAGTCTTGAGAGAGTCATACATCAACCAGGTATCCTTATTTGGATATGCCACAAATAACTCCAATTTGGCATTCTGAATTCATGTCTTCAACTTCTAATCCTATGTGCTCTGCATCTCCTGCCCTGATTAGTGATACCACACTCATCCAGTTACCAAATAGGAAGCTTAGCCCTCCAACGTACTTCCTTTTATTCACTGTCCCCTATATCCAGTACCTAAGTCATAATGATTGTACTTCTCTGATATTTCTGTAATGCTTCTCCTTGATGATGATGACAAAAATGAAAATGAATTAATAATAGTAGCAGTAGTAACAGCATCAGCAGTAGTGGAAGGAGTGGTAGCTACAACTGCCATTTATTGATTTCTTGACCATTTAACCTTTACCATGCATACCCCTCCCCCCCTTGCAAAAAAAGAACTGAAGAATACAGAATAACACAGCAAAATGCTAATGCTGACAGTGGTAACTCCTGCATCATAGAATTCCAGATAATTTTTTTTTATTTCCTTCTTATAAAGTATGAAAAGCAAAGCAGTCTTTTAGATTTTTCAAAGTTTGTTTTACTTTAGTGATAGACAATGAAGAATGCTAAAATGTTTCTTATTTATTAACAAATCAACGAACAAATCAAATCTAGATTACAAATAAAGCATGATAAAAACAGTAAGTGGTTTACACTTTGAAAAAGTCATTTCAAAATTCTTCTCACAAGCCTAAAATAATTTAATATTCATGGTATTCTCTTTGTTTAGCTTTAGGTGTCTTCTCACTCTCTAAATACCAACAGAATATCCAGCAAACAAAAATCAAAGACTTGTAGTCATCAGGTAAATTAAATGTTAATTAAGCCTAATGTAACATACCACATTACTATTTTCTTTCTTAATAGCTAAAATTGATTAAGCAAAAAAAGAGATAAAGAAATTCTAGAGAATGGAGCAAAACAAATCCATTCTTTACATTACCTAGAGTCATAATATAGAAATTTCCTCTATAGACATGAAAATGTTAACTTCTGTTAGGATAGATTTTCTCCTTTTTTTAGAATCTGATTGTCCTGAATTTGAATAATACTTGTCCTCTTTCTATATAACTCTGGGGAGGTTATTCAACCTCACTGAACCTCTGAAAAATGGGATAAATTGTATCTATCTCATAGGGACAGTGACCATGTATTCAGGTTTGCCTAAGGCAATTTCAGTCTATGCCGCTTATCCCAGATTAATGATTAACACTACTCCCTTCACTTTCACCAGTGTCCCAATTAGGACAATAAAAATACATGGTTAACTATTACAGATTGAACTGTGCCTCCCCTCCAATTCATATGTTGAAGTTTTAACCCCCATTACCTCAAAATGTGTCCTTGCAAATGTTTTTTGAGTAGCGTAGATCCCTAATCTAATATACAAGAAGATGGTCACGCAAAGACACACACAAGGAGTACTCCCTGTGAAGAGTCCGGTGATGTGGCCACAAGACAAAGAACTACCAGGAGCCAAGAGAAGGATCTAAAACAGGTCCTTTCTTAGTGCCAGAGGGAGCTGGCCCTGATGACACCTTGATCTTAGACTTCTAGCCTTCAGAACTGTGCAACAACAAATTGTTTAAACTACTCAGTTTGTGCTACTTTGTTACAACAGTCCTAGCAAACGAATACAGTCACTGGACTCATAAGGTTAGCAAATTTTTATAATTTTTTAAAAAGTTTATTTATTTTTGAGAGACAGCATGAGCAAGGGAGGGGCAGAGACAGAAGGAGAGAGAGAGAGAATCCCAAACAGGCTCTGCTCTGACAGTACAGAGCCTGATGTGGAGTTCAACTCACAAAACCACAAGGTCATGACCTGAGCTGAAACTGAGACTCTGACACTTAACCAACTGAGCCACTCAGGCGCCCCATTAACATTTTTTTAATGTTTATTTATTTTTTAGAGTGAGAGAAAGCAGGGGAGGGCAGAAAGAGAAGAAGACACAAAATTCGAAGCAGGCTCCAGGCTCCGTGCTGTCAGCACAGAGCCCAATATAGGGCTTGAACTCATGAGCCATGAGATCATGACCTGAGCTGAAGTTGGACGCTTAACCAACTGAGCCAACCAGGTGCCTAATTTTGGCAATTACTATCTTTACTGATGTCTCTCTGTGCTGCACATGAGGCATATGTAAACTGCCCAGAAGAAGAGAAACTGGTACCTCCAGAGGACTGAATTTCTGCTCCGTTCCTACTCCAACCCTGAGATCCAGTGATAATGAGCTGATATGTTTGGGAAATTTGGGTAAGTCCAATTCCACTCATTCATTGTAATATCCCTGAACAGAACTCTAATCTTAAAGGATGTCACTGGGTAAATGGCTTTGATGAATAGAATTCACTTGAAATCTAGCCTGCGTGATTTGCAAATCAGCTTACACTCTACATTAAACTGCTACCCTCTCTATGCATTTGTTTGGAGCATCTTTAAGGCAATCAAGCCCGTAAGACTCTGAAGACAAAGCCATCTGTGGTTCCACACAATCTGCAGCTGAAGGTGACCTGTACAAGTGAACATGCTAATAACTATTAAAGTCATTTGCCTAATTTTCATTTTTAAAGGAAGCTGTTATTCTTAGTTGTTGTTTTTTTTACATTATGCATATGATACATTCCTTCATTATTTCAAATTATTGTGATGCATATGTCTCTAGGAAATATTTTTATCTACACATTAGATTATTCTGGAGTAAACAGGACCTAATCTTCAATTTGAGTTAACCCTGAGAATATAAATCTTTCTTTTTTATTTGAGAGAGAGAGAGAGACAGAGAGAGAGAGAGAGAGAGAGAGAGAGAGAGAGAGAGAGAGAAAGCCTGTGTATGTGAGCTGGGGAGGAGGGCAGAGGGAAAAAGAGAGAGAGAGAACTTTTTTTAATATTTATTTATTTTTGGGTGAGCTCAAGTGGGGGACAGGGACAGAGAGAAAGGGACAGAGGATCTGAAGTGGGCTCTGCACTGACAGGCTGACTGCAGTGAGCCTGATGCGGGGTTTGAACTCATGAACTGCAGGATCATGACCTGAGCCAAAGTCGGAGGCTCAACCGACTGAGCCGTTACATATGCCATTACGTATCATAATGTGGCTAGTATTTTGTGTTAATTAGGGTTAGAGTTTCTAAAGTTATTGACAAAAACTCTGCTCCTTGCAATAGCAGTTAGCATTAACCAGATTTTTCTGACTGGTAAATTCAAGCAGTCTTTTAGTTATCAAAGCTCATCAGGAAAAAGTAGAGGGCAAGTCAGGAATGTGTGTTATGTCTCAAAGCAGGTCCCAAATTAATGCAAATACTAACATAATATTAAGCTGCATACTGAGAACCACCTTCAACATTCAGAAGGGAAATACAATACTGGAAAATATCTATGAGATTTAGCTACCAACAGCCAAATTTAATGACCACAGCAGCACAAATAATATTGACATGTACATAAAGGCAAAATATTTTTCACTTAACTAAGGAAAATAGATAAATTCTTTGCATTTGCTTCTCTCTTTAAATTATATTCTGACACTATAGTCTTAAAATCCACCTGTGTTTTCTTCAAACATATCAAGGAACAAACAGAAGCATGGTGGCAATTGTAAACGGTTGATTTCAAGTTGATTTTCAAAATGCCACAAAGTGGATACTGAATGAAGCTAATTTAGTCATGCATTAAATATTTCTTGAGCACATAACATCTTCTAGTTACTATCCTGGGCTTTGGAAATGCAACTGTAAATAGTCACAAAGTCACTGCCTTTTCAATTAATTTTACTAATGTACCGAAAAGACAAGAAAAAGCAAAGAAAGAACAAAATAATTTCAGATATTGATAAATTACATGAAGAAAATAGGTTTCAAAAAACAGAGACAGGTTTTAAGAAGACCTCTGTGGGAATGGGGAGAAGGACTGAGCCAACTTTGTTACAAAAGGCAAAAGAAGTGAATGAATGCCAATGCCAATCCTTGATGCCAATTTCACATGATTGAAGCACACTATTTTTTTAACTCTTCATATTTGAATTAGAGCTATTTAAGGGGGGCCTGGGTGGCTCAGTTGGTTGGGCACTGGGCTTCGGCTCAGGTCATGATTTCACAAGTTCGAGCCCCATGTCGGGCTCTGTGCTGGCAGCTCAGAGCCTGGAGCTGCTTGGGATTCTGTGTCTGCCTCTCTCTCTGCCCCTCTCCCACTCATGCTCTGTCTGTCTGTCTGTCTCTCCCTCTCTCTCTCCAAAGTAAATAAACATTAAAAAAACTTGAAAAAGAAGTATTTAAGTTTACTGAACTTCAAGTAAGTAAGTGCCTCCAAATTCTCATAGCCGGCCCACCTAAGATTGAAATAGCTTAAGTATTTGAAATGTGCAGGGAGGAGGGTAGAGGATGTTCAGAAAAGAGCTGCAGAAAATTGGAGAGGGCTTTCTTTTTTTTAATGTTTTATTTATTTTTGAGATAGAGAGAGACAGAGCATGAGCAGGGGAGGGGCAGAGAGAGAGGGAGACATAGAATCTGAAGCAGGCTCCAGGCTCTGAGCTGTCAGCACAGAGCCCGACGCGGGGCTCGAACTTACGGACCACAAGATCATGACCTGAGCCGAAGTCAGATGCTCAACTGACTGAGCCACCCAGGCACCCCGGAGAGGGCCTTCTTGATGCAGCTAGTGGTAACAAGAGGGGACAGCTGGATGCCACATGGAGCACCTTATCAGAGACTAGCCTAGTCCTCAAACAAGTTACCTTGAGTCTTTGAAGAAGAAAATGCACAATGACCACAACCATCCTCTGGCAAAAATAGCTAAAAACAGGAAAAATCAGATTCTGGTTTAATATATGCCATTAGGATTATAATTTATTGACGTTACCGTTATTTCATGGAATGTAATTTTAATTAAAGACATCAGAACTCTAGACCTCACCAAAGGATTAACATATTAATATTAAAACAGAATCCTAAAATGTGTGAAGGTAGTGCAGGTTAGCATGTATCTTCATGACAAAAGGACCCTAAAGCCACAACATCACTGACCATCCATCTATTGTTCCACAACCAGCCTCAAAGTCCAACGTCTTAGAAACCTTGATATTCTCAAATTAGCCCCTGGATTTAAGAAATAAATTTGGCCACTCTATAAAAGGGATCTGCGATCAAATTTTATTTCAAGCTACTAAACACACTGCAACACATTTAGCAATAATGACCGCGACCAACCTTGAAGATTAAAAAGTGTTAAAATGATAACTTTCATGTTCCGTATATTTTACCACAATTTAAAAACAGAAATGTAAAGCCAATGAGCCCTATGCTGTGGAAGATTTTAAGCAAGCAGAAAAGCTTAATATATATAATGCATACATTTTAAGAGATTTTGATTAAAATAAAAGCAGATTATTTTCTGAAAATATTTTAATAATTTTAACTTTTATTTTGTCAATATAATTAAAACCTATGAGATTTCAGAGACCTCTCATAAGTTTCTAAAGAGATGAAAAGATGAATACACACAGATAACATAATTTAAGATAAAATAAAGTTAAACTCCCACTTTCAATGAATTCAAATGAAATAATGTTTAAATAATTGGATTAAATAACACAACGATTTGGGGGCCATAGTTTTACTTTTCACTTTGAGTTTTCCAACAAACAATCAATTTTGGAGAGGGAAAATTTCAACTGAAAAAGCAAAACTTAAAAGTGTATGTTCATGAAAAATACTCTAAGATTATTCCATGTGGCTGAGCTTCAAAATATAAGTTCTATATGGGAATACTTTAGAGCTTTAAATTTGTTCTCCACAAATATCATGAGACTATCTTGTTTTGCTTTTGTGGACTAAGGGCATTGTTATAAGACATCAAAGTGACTCATTCTAAATAAAAATTAAGTAAAAAATTTAATTGCACAAGCACCACCCAATCACTTTTCCAATTCCACCATTCCAACCCTCTCAATTTATGGAGCATCTAATAAACTAACAGTACACCACAGAGAGAAGTGAAATGTTACCCTGACAGATGGGAGTAACTGAAGTTCATTCTTGGCACTTTTCTATTAATTGAAATACTTCTTTTTTTTTTCCTGCAGCAGAAAGAGCCATGAAACCCCACTGACCTCACTGAACCCCACGTTGTTACTCTTGGAATGCTCCTATTAATCAGATCCCAAAATCTCACTTGATCTGAAGAAGTTAAGCCCAAGGACACCCTCTCTGAAAGAAAGACATCAAAAATCTGAACTTGACATCTTCTCCTTGAGTACTTCAACTTTTATTTATTTTATTTTTGGAATATTTATTCCCAACCAGAGAGAGCACTGTGGGTTTTTTTTTTTTTAATGTTTATTTATTTTTGAGAAAGAGAGAGAGAGAGAGCAAGCAGGGGAGGGGCAGAGAGAGAGAGGGAGACACAGAATCCGAAGTAGGCTCCAGGCTCCGAGCTGTCAGCACAGAGCCTGATGTGGGCTCAAACTCACAAACCGCAAGATCATGACCTGAGCCAAAGTCAGAGGCTGAACCAACGGAGCCATCCACGCACCTTGTATTTCAACTTTTAAAAGTTTGAATAGTTTACTATTAGAAGGAAATTTCTTCTAATTTACTAATTAGAAGAAATTAGTAACTTCTAATAGTTACTATTAGAAGGGCAATAAAATATAAAAATCAAAATTAATGAATGAGGACACATTCATTAACTGAATGAATCAAAATTCAAAATTTTTGTCATCTGAATCAAAACAAACCAATTTTTAATGCAATTTCTACGAATGGAGCTAAGAAAAAGCAAAAGATACATTCTTTTCCTGAATATAGTTACAGTGTCCATCCCTCATTCCTAAAGAGATGCCAAATCAAATGAGGTGAGGTTCATAGAGGAACAGAAAAATAGGAGAGCCATGTGCTCACTAATTTTCTAATCTCAAATAAAAAGCCACAACTATTTATGGGTTGAAGGCAATATAAAAACTGCGTTTTACAGATGCAAACAAAATAGAACATGAGAGGCAGAATAAAAAAAAGACGAGTTCATGAATATGTAGCTAGGAAAAGAAAGTAAAAGACTCCCTACTGAAGATGCTCTGACTTCAGCCAACCAGGTGTATACATGACATGATCACATGTGATTTGTCTGAAGGGAGCGCGACACCTTCACAAAGTCCTTCACGTGAGCACCGACAGAAGCAAATGCAAATGTCGCACAAACAGGAGAAATATCTGAACAATCCAGACACGGGCAAAGTTTTAAAAACTCTGACCAAGAAAGAACAATTCCTACACGAGTTCTCCCCACTACTGTATGAAGGGACATTTTAAGGTAGGTAAGTAGACAAAGGGAAGGTAATTACTGATTTGGTTTTGTTCGTAGGGAGTCAGACTTCGGTGGGAAAACTAAGAATTTCACCCAGCAGTTTCCCATATTTAGGAATCTCCACCGGAAATGTTATTTAGCCCAGTATTTACGAGCATAGTTTGTGAACAGAGGTCCTGGAGTGATGAAGTAGTCAAACCTCAGGAGCCTGCACACAGAGGGTCTACCTACTAATAGTGCCAGCAAGCAAGAATCAAGAGTATATAACTCTGAGCAGCAAGAAACTGTGAAAATGATTCTCCTTACCTGCAAACCAGAAAAGGAATAAAACCTTCCCCAGCCCCAAGGCACACTTCAGAGTTGCAGGAAAACAACACACAGAGAAGCTGTTCTCGGGGGAGAAAGTGGTAGCAATGGTAGAAGAAAGTGTATATCAGAGGAAACAAATCTCTTATAGTTTTCCTAAACTAAAGGAAAATGTTGGTGCCCCAAATTGGATACAGGTTGCTACTCATATTATGTAGAAATGTACTAACAGATAAAGCTGTTGAGATACAGTTGATGAAAACTGTTGTCTGGGTCACTTCCATTATATCAAATAATACAATCAAAAGATCCAAGTATACCAAAAAAAATGAAGAGATGATAAAAAGAGAGGTACCAAACAATGGTACATTTTAAAAAGTTTACTTATTTATTTATTGAGAGAGAAAGAGACAGCATGAGCAGGGGAGGGGCAGAGAGAGAGGGACAGAGGATCCCAAGCAGGCTCTGTGATGTCAGCACAGAGCCCAACATGGGGCTCGAACATATGAACTGTGAGATCATGACCTGAGCTTAAAGAGTCAGATCAGGGAGCCTGGGTGGCTCAGTCGGTTAGACGTCCGACTTTGGCTCAGGTCATGTTCTCAAGGTTTGTGGTTTGAGCCCAGCATCGGTCTCTGTGCTGACAGCTGGGAGCCTGGAACCTGCTTTAGATTCTGTGTCTCCCTCTCTCGCTGTCTCTCCCCCACTCACACTCTGTCTCTGTGTCTCTCAAAAAAAATTAAAAAAAAAAAAGGCAGATGTTTGACTGGGCCACCCAGGTGCCTCAACAGTGGTATATTTCAAATCATCCCTATAATTGGAGTCATTGTGACTACATTACTAATCCAGTTGATGACTGTTTATGATGCCACATTCCAAGACCAGTGTTACACCCTCATTCATCCCTCCGTGCCTCATATCCACCCGATGACAAACCCTGACATAAGCACTATATTTTTTGCATTAGAAACTAGGGACTTTGAAATGTTTGAAAAAATTGTTTAAAAAGATTATAATACTACCAATGAAAATGAAAATGAATATTTCTCCCTTTCTTTTAAGCTGTTATATATGCTTATCACTAACTCAAAAATCACGTGGGAGGAGTGAAGTACAGAAAGAGTAAAAAATAGGGAAAAAATATTAACATTCGACTGATGTGGTCAGTATTCAAAAACGATCTGAAGTGTCAAAATAACGCAGAGAAAACAAAAATCATGTAGTTTAAGACTTTACTCAGGAATGACTTCTTAAGGAAAATGTAAGGCTCTGGAATTGTGATACTCAGAATATCATTCATTTGTATGCAGATACTACACTCAGCTGTTCTGTTAACTCTTAGATTATCTGCAGGTAAGAGGACATTCAATTTGGCCTAATATTAGTAATTAACCACCTAGAAAATAAACATAGCAAAATAAGCTTCCTCTCAACATAGAAGGTAATCTAATTCTTGTAAAAATGTGGAAAACATGCCTTTAATGTTCATCTGTGTTTATAATTACTTTGCTAATCGCCTATTTTTATTTACTCATAATTATCATATTGTCTTAATACAGTTTATAATCATTTATAGCTACTTTTTTATAACTTTGAATATTCTAAAAAGAATAAATGAATTCCTTTAGAAAAAGGATGAGAAAACAGCGGCTAAAACCCAAGTACAATCAAATTATGATATACTGATCCTTTATTTCTAAGCTGATCACAGGTATTTACTAAAAACATTAACTGTTTCCTAAGACAGTGATTTATTACTACATTCAAATGACAATGTGCAAGCAAGCCTAAACAGAAGGGCCAACACAGCCGGTATCTATTAACACAAAAAGTTGGTTGGAACTGTAGGCAAGTAATTAACCTTCTGGCCCAGAGCTTTAAAACCCCAAAAGCAGTTCCTAGAATTTCTTTCATAATTTATGAACAACTGATGGAATTCATGTCACAGTCCATGGATTCCCTTGCAGAATTGACCCCAGCTCTCACTGACCCTAAGAAGCTATAAACCAACAGGAGAATGTGCTCCACCATTTCGGCTGACCCGCAGAGTGCCATCCCTGTCTCTGTAGCTTAGGAAACGGGATGATAAATTACAGAGCTGCCTGCCAGGCACAGACCTAAACATTCACCTTCACTGATGGTGACGGCGACACACAGAACATGCACCCTCACTCACCCCAAGGCATCCCTGTTTGACAGCAAACCCTCCTCTATGTTGTACAGATGATCTATATTCTGCTGCTAAAGGTTATAAAAAGATGATGATGATGACACTGGGAACAGAGGGGCGGGCCGTATAACAAGGGAGGTGGCGTAACTGGTAAAATTCAGGCAGGAATACCGAAGACAAAGCACACAGCAACCGTGGCGGCGGCAGCTCACACTACTGCATGCGCACACTGGGCTAGGGGCGGTGCAAGGATCCTGACGTAGACCTTCACTTGTTCCTCAAAGCAATGCCATGAAGTGAGCACTATGCTTATCCTTGTTCTTTAGATGAGGAACTAAGCTTTGAAGAAGTTAAGCAACTTACTGTAAAGCTCACACTGGGAGGAAATAAATAAAATGGAGTGAGTGCCTGTCATCTGACTCCAGGATCCAGATTTAGGATATGATCGAGGTATTAAATAACAAGGAAGTAGAGACAGCTGACTTTATGGTGAGAAAGTTTCTCCATAACTGGAATTAAGTAACAAACTACAGACCCTCAAGCTTCTAAATTGAGACTATCATCCTCAACTGGTTGATATATCACCAAACATTATGGAAGGAATGTATGTAATTCTATAGTTAGTTCAAGAGTAACAGTAAAAATTAGAATAAGAACTAAAAGTACCAGCAATGTGTATACTGAAAAAAGTTTAAGCCTTTAGCTCCAGAGGAACAACAGTAGCATAACCTTAGCAAATCACTGAATTTTGCAGGGCATGGGTGCCATTAAGAGGCTTAAACTAGAAAATTTATGAAATTCACTTCTATTCTAAAAGTGAAGACTATTATACTTTATGTTTTTATTATTTTTTAAATTTTTAAATTTTATTGAAATCCAAGTTAGTTAACATATAGTGTAATGATTTCAGGAATAGAATGTGGTAATTCATCACTTATATAACACCCAATGTTCATCCCAACAAGTGCCCTCCTTAATGCCCATCACCCATTTAGCCCATCCTCCCACTCAATACCTCCTTCAGCAACCCTCTTCTCTGTATTTAAGAGTCTCTTATGGTTTGCCTCCCTCTCTCTTTTCATCTTATTTTTCCTTTCTTCCTCTATGTTCATTTGTTTTGTTTCTTACATTCCACATATGAATGAAATCATATATTTATCTTTCTCTGGCTGACTTATTTCACTTAGCCTAATACACCCTAGTTCCATCCACATTGCAAATGACAAGATTTCATTCTTTTTGATGGCTGAGTAATATTCTATTGGGTGTGTGTACACGTGTGTATGTGTATGTGTGTATACCACATCTTCTTTATCCATTCATCAGTCAATGGACATTTGGGCTCTTTCCATAATTTGGCTATTGTTGATAATGTTACTATAAATATTGGGGTGCATGTGTCCCTTCAAATCTGTATAAAAGCAACTGCGCTGTACATACCTGCCATGTATGATCCTTTTCTAATCA